AAAGTTGCCATGGGTCATGGCTGAGGATGATTGTTTTTTGTCCACTTTATGGCTTTCCTTAAGAAATATGCATAAAATCATGTTTCAAACTTCATCCAAAATTGCTTTGTAAACTCATTCTGAGTCAGAGAACCATTCATTTATTTTGCACTCCCACATTCACGACTGAATTTAATATTTCTAATACAACAGTTGTGTTTTTTTTATGACATGCAGATACTGTGCATATTTTTTCATTATTTTCCCAGAATAACCTCAGATAAATCATTGATATTCCAAGACATTAAGGGCCTAACAGAGGTGGTGGAATCTGTGCTCAAAATGCCCAATCTTTCCAAACTTGTGACAAGCATGAGACAGAAATGTAGTCTGGTAGAATTTTACCTTATTTGTATGGGAGGCTGCCAACTGTAAAGGAAAACCAAGAGGGTGATTTTGTCCATTTTAATTTAGTTTCATGGGGTAGGGTTTTGATGAATTCAAGAACTTAGTTTTTTTCCTTACACTTAGATATGAAACAGAAGTCAACATTGTTGAAGTTTTACTCCTGGTACGATTAAATTCTTCTAATTGGCTTTTGTCCTGTGGGTTTCTGAGAATAGCCACCCTACGAAAGGGGAAGGGCCACCTTATTAGACTGGTCTCATATGAGTGTTTGCGAGAACAATAATGTCTATGGGAATAAGCAACCTTGCAGAGACTAGGCATACCAGGGCCTCCTCTCTGAGCCAATCTGTGGTAGGTGAGGTTAGGAGGGTACTGCTTAGGGACTCTATGGCTGCGCTCCAGAGGGACTAAAGTACTTAGGGGGTGACAAGTTGACAGAGCAATGTTCCCTGTGGCCCAGGGAGTGTTGGGTACAGGGAATCCCAATTGGTCATGCACAAAGCCTCCAATGCAGAGGCGGTTACTCTGAACTGTGGCAAAGTTGTTGTTGGCAGGCGAACTGTCAAACCCAAGATTTAGGAGCAATGGGGTTTGCACATTCAATGTGCAGTTGCTTTGTGGACTTGGAGAAGGGTTAGGGTTGTGTCTCCTAGGTGTCTTGTACAGTGCTAGAATAAGGGGACCCTGGGTTGTTGATATGAGAGATCAAGTCTGCTGACTATAACCTGACTAAGTGCTGTGTCACTAACAATCAGCTCTGCAAGGTTGTGCCACAGGATTTCTTATGTTTATTACCAGTGCTGTAGTTGTGTTAGCTTCATTGGCCCCTGACCTCCAGTGCACACAGCTAGAAGTGTGAAGGAGCTGAGAATAGAGTCAGCACCCTTCAAGTCTGAGGCTGTGATACTCTACCACGGCCATTGAATTTGAAACAAGTTACAGGCGCAACTGGTGATGTTCCAGTACAGTATTTCAGGGTCTTATTCGCAAGTGAGGATAAGATTGAGTGTAAGATCAACAGACAGAAGAAAGAAGAAGAAACAACCGTGGGGTTTTAATTCCTTGCAGTCAGGATTTTGATAAGAATTAAAGTGAAATAGACTGTTTAACAACATCAACCTTTAAATCTTAAGACCCTACCTCATGATTTTTTTTTATTAGATTATATTTACTGTTCACATATTATATTCTCACAAATCACATCTTTCTTAAACACTGTCTGATCAGTGCCAACAGGTAGATATTTTGTTCATGTGAAGATCTTTTAGTTGGAAATTTGCACACAGCTCCCACATCAGTTTATATTCAGTAAGAACCGATCTGAGGGTGAAAACAAAACACTGAATAGAATTCCTCATTCCCCTTTACAAGCATTCGTTGGTGAACACTAGAGGGCAGTGGAGTATTTTTTCTCTTTCACTTTTACTGTAATGTCACTAGATCAGACAGAAATTACTTTGACCCTGAACTCATGAAAACAAAACAACCATTCATGGATTTAGATACTAATCAGAATCCCTGTCTAGTTAAACGACTATAATAATTTACATTGAGATTTTGTTTTGACCATAGCTCTTTTTAAAAATCCCAAAACAAAGGAGTCTAAAATATTCACTATGGCCAATACAGTGATGTGCATGGGATGTGTTATAACCCATAAAATCTTTCAGAGAGCTGTGTACAACTGACTTCCCTTCAACTGTTTCACTTCCTCTGTCTTAACCTTTGACCCCAAAGCTATGAGTTCATCTTTATTGGCACATTAATCTGAAATTGTAGAGTGTTGTTGCACCTGGTTTCTGCCATGAAAACAATAGAAGTACACATGCTGCTGTCAGTGAGTACATATTTGCAGATGCCTATTATGCACCCACCTTTTTTTAAGATATATATACCTACTGATGTATCGGAAAGTGCATTTTTCAGAATTTTATATGTTGGAAAAACTGCTTTCACTTCTATAAATGAGAATAGTATATTCATAAGGCATATGATTTCAGCCTGAAACCAGCAGAGCTTTGCAACTGATCACATGCTTAGCATTGTTTTCTTAAGAGTGGATTGTTTTGCTAAATGATTTTAATACAAATGCCCATGAGAATTATTCCCCAAATCCCTCATAAAGTGCATTATATTAGCAGCTTACCAAAAGTACCAGAAGAAACAGTCAGAGGAGGCTTAAGCTTTACCGCCAACCTGATTGTTAGTTTTATTTTAGAGGGGGGGATTCTTGTCATTGAGGGATTTTCTGCTTTGTCATTCTGTACAGGATTTCCCTCTGCCGGGGGAAGAGTACTCCTGTTTGGTTTCTGCTAAGCGACTTCCTCCTTCAAAGGCTGCTCAAACAATGACTCCATAACAGCTGGCTTTTGATTTGAGGAATTCCTCAAATGTTTCTGAAAGCACATAGGTGGTATTAATATAAATCTGAATGAAATGGGTGATTAATAAATAAATGAAAAAAAATGAATAGTTGAATTAAACTTTAGCCAATAGACAGATAAGGTCACTAACATTATTTAGGTTCTATTCACTCAAAACCACAAGCCCTTCCCCAAGTACACAGTCAGTAATATTGTAAAAACAAGGGCCATCCACCACTAAAAAAAAGACCTGCTCTTCCTTTTCTTATTCCATGGACACTTTAGAATTATCTATTAATTTATTTATTTTGGGACATAAAAGACTAGTCTAGCAAACACTGTGGAAGCAAACTGGAATCCAAATGAAGAATAAAGAACAAACTTAAAGAAGATAACTACTGAGAGTTACTGTTGTTGAGCTGAGGTACACAAAATGCTGATTTTTCATTTGTCAGCCAAACTGAGAAAATTACTGATCTGCCTTTTAAAAGAGGCTTGTCCCTAACAAGTGCTCATAACATGTGACAAAGATAGACTCATAAGTTTTTGTTGCACTGGCTTCAGGAATTAGGCTACTGTTGAAAAGTGGGTTAAGTCATCCCAAGTATGTCCATTACTACTCTGTTTGCCCTGTTTGTTTTTTGACATTCTGCAGTGAAAGCGTAGCTCAGGTCTGTGCTGTGCCAGGGGGTGACGCAGGAAGGTAAGAGCCTGGTAGGGAATAGTGATGAGTTTCTACCAGGAACCCACCAGGGCGGTGAGTAAAACTGGCACTGGCCCGTATAATCCAAGCTCACTGTTTGGCAGACATAGAGCATCCGTCTTAGTATTTGCTACGCAGACATACTGTCTTCATAACCTAAGGGACCAACATAACTGTCTATGTAGGCTATGTATGTATCTTCCTACTCTATGAGAATGCTATATGCATATACTGTGTCTATTTTTGCATGTAGGCTATGTAACATATTAAACACAAAGAGCAGTTCATGTGACTTATCAATTGACTATTCAAACATTACAATTACAAATTTTGGTTTAAGGTAGAAAATTGTCTTTAGGTCTTGGGGACATGAAACAAATAAATGATTTAAATGATTTGGTCAAAAATTTAAGTTTGTGGTCATGTAAACTAATTATACAATCTCTAAAACATTTCTCTACATAGGGGAAGTTTTGTAGTATTCACTGTTCTTTGTAGTGCAAATATTCTGCTACCAGCAGTTTCAGTTGGGTGCTCGGTTCCCAACAGAAACTGACATTGTTACATCCACCAGTTTGTTAGATCAATGACCAAATATATATTAATAGACATCTTTTATCTACTCACCGGATGCCCATGTTGGAGTATTATGTCTAAGTGTGTGATGGTTGATTTGTGGTTTGTTAATTAATCTTGTTTTTCTGTGATCAGTTTACTGCTAACCAAGCCGGCCATTATAACTAGCTAGCTGTGTGAAGCTAACATGCAGCTATACAAAATTCAATGTAACTTTTAAATTACTGTTGGGCTAACTGTTGTGTTTTTCTATTATTATCGTTTTGCTGTTACACTTGTAGACTCTGTGTATGTTTGCTAGATTAATTTCTGTGTTGTATTTCCTCTGGGGACTTAATGTTGCAGCTAGTCTATACATTTGGTAGACTAACCCAGTTTCTTCCTTATACTCACTCATCTTCACAGCACCTTGGTGTAACCAGTCTTTATGGTATCTCATCCTATACTGAGTTGTAATCACTGTCATTGAATTTGGTGTCCAATAGCAGAGCCTACTGTTTTCACAGTTTCACAACCACTTCTAGTAAAAACCTCAAAGGCCAGCTTCTGGTTTAGCTTGAAGCTTGCTGTGCACCTACATGCATAGTGAGAGCGGATGAACACATAGTTGCTATTATTATGGTATTGATATCTACTATCTCCAGATAGATCTGTTTTGATGACCCAGAATTTACGAACCTAAAAGTTGTGTGTCATGTAGGTGTTTTTACAGTTTGACCAGATTTGAGGTCATGAAGGAGGAGAGTTAAAACTCCATTGTTTCCAGGTCCTGAATACATCAGCAGAACAATAGGGAGCACTAGGACCCTGCGGCGTGGAAGGCTTCCGCCTCTCTCATTATCCATTGATTTGACAGCTTGAGCGAGCGACCAGTCAGAGACAGGATGTGAAGGCGAGAGGGAGGCGGTTTGCGGGTTTTGGTGCGGTACGCCGAAGTTTTGTAAAATCCCTTGGTTGTTTGTAAGCTAAAGGCAGGTCCACTGCAATGTCTGTCAAACACAGCTGCTCATTATTCGACACGTTTTCAACCGGATAATCCCGAGTTGGCGTTTGGATTATTGCTCCTGCTGTGTTTTTGTAGGTAAAAAAAAAAAAAAATCAATTCATCGGCTTAGGCAGGACGGGATTCACTTTCTGTGGACTTATTCTCAACTTTTGGAAGCTGTGTTTCAACGTTTAGACTTGTAACAAGTTGCGGTTGCCAGTGGTCACACAGTTTGTGGAGACTGGAGAAGCACACGTGTATCCTCCCTCCTCCTCCGGCTGCTCACACATCGACCCTTCAGCGCTTTCTGGATAAAAGTAGTTTTTTCTGTTTGGGATTTCGCTTAAAGCAGGAAGAAAAAGTGACAGACAACATGTCGCTAAGCAGAAGTATTGAATTTGAACACTTTGAGGAACGAGAGAAGCCGCACAGGGCACCGAGAACCAACTCGGTCTCCGGGTCCCAGTCTGGCTCCAGAGGCAACGGTCTGGTCCCCAGCCCGGCGCACAGCGCGCACTGTAGTTTCTACCGCACACGTACTCTCCAGTCCCTCACATCCGAGAGGAAGGCTAGAAAAGTGCGATTCTATCGCAATGGAGACAAGTATTTTAAAGGTCTGGTGTACGCCGTGTCCAACGACCGGTTCAGGTCTCTGGATGCTCTGCTCATGGAGCTCACACGGTCCCTGTCTGACAACGTCAACCTTCCTCAAGGAGTCCGGTCGTTATACACGTTGGATGGAGGCAGGAAGATCACCAGTATGGATGAGTTAGTAGAGGGTAAGGGTGATGATGGATGTAATAACCTCTTCATGTCACCACAAGCCATAAAGGGGGTCGCAACATGATTATATTGATGATACACTAATGTGCATTGATTCACACATAGAATCGATTTTTTTTAAAAGCTACATTTTGCCTTGAATGTTGGGCTCATTGGTCCATGCAGATATTCACTACACCCTCAGGCAAGTTATGCCAGAGGTTTTAAGGGTCGCTCAGAGCATATTCACATGTTAAGAACTGACTCTGCTTTGTTTATTTGTATATGTTGTGTATTGAGAAAGTTTTCACTGTCAGATTAAAGGTTACTTTGAGGTCAGTTCTCCTGATCCACTGTACAGACATCCATCCATTTATCTCTGGCGAACATTACAGGATAATGGGTGCAATGAAAAGCTTCCCTCACATCATTCACATAATTTACGTCACTGACATAACTCTTCTGACATGTTTGACCCAGTGCCATGCATGGAGACAAGCAGACCCCTCCTCACTGCAGCAGACCACAGCTCTCTGCAGATTGGTCTCAGCTGGGCTCTTTCTTTCACGTTCCCCCACTTTCTTTGTATTTGTGAGCTGAGTTTATGTGGGCATGTGTACCCACTGTCTGGGAATAAATGTTTGATGACAGTGTTGTTGTTGTTGTTGCAGGGTCCATTGGCTCTTAAAAATCTTGATCTCACCCTGGGGGCTTGAAAGATAAAAGTTTCCCTCCCTCATCCACTATCTGTTTATTGCATTGCAGTATTGCGGTGAATTAATGGTTTTTAAGACCGCAAATGTAATTTAAAATATGTAAACTAAGTTATAGTAAAAAAAATATGTAGTAGCTACTAAGAAATAATAGACACTGAAGAAAACCTCCTGCAGTCACAGCTGTTTGATCAGTTTAGTCATTCCGAGGAGCTAGAGGGCTGAGAGGAGTTCCTAAACAAATTTGGTTTTCAAACACAGTGTCAGAGGCAGTTGCGCACTGCAGACACGAATGGAGAACAGTCAGTGACCCTTTCACTTTCCTGCTGTGTTGTTCTCCCTGCAGGGACAGTGACCTCACAGTAACAAGTTAATCTTCATGTTCAGCCCAGACAGTGTCTGTCTGAACTGTCACCTGCCTGCAATCCTCTTTCAACATGAGGGGTTACTGCTTGGCCACACATACTCAGGATCCACTGACCTCCTGATGCTGTCATTGTTCTTATGTGCAGGTCTATTTTTATCTCACATCCTCCTAAAACTTTCGTGTCTGTGCTACACTCATTTCCTATGCCCCGTCCCCTGAGAGACTGGGGAGGATTTAGGCCAGCGCCTGATCTGAATTCTGTAGCATCACTAGTTTGGCAAATCGAGCAAAAGTTGATTTTTTTTTTTTTTTTTTTGGTGCATTGGCTTGGCTTAGAGTTGTACCTCTGACTGATACTGCAACAGCTCATTTTGTCTGAGAATTTAAAGGATCAGTTCACCCAAATCATAAAAATTCTTGTGCGTGCCAGAGTACTGTTTAAGATGTTCATTTGTTCACGTTTAAGTTAACTAAGCCACACGTGTGCCTTCTTGAGGAATGTTTTCCTCAAAGTAATTTATGTTGCACGTCCTTCCTCAGGGGTTACAATGTTTTCATTTCACTGTTTACAGTTTTCACCATTCAATTTTCTTTTACAATAGTTCCTGGTTAAAAACTGTTGACAGGAAAGCCCAGGGATTATCTTGAGTAACCAGGACATTGTGTCTGGAAAGACATTCATTCATATTCATGAGTTTTTTCAAATGAGATTTTTTAAAATACTGTGAGCACTAAAAATGAAATTCCTTTCAATCAGATTATTTGAGATGGTGACAGAAGTTTCAGCAAATCCTCAGCAAAGACAACTGAAATCATTTGCGTGCTTAGATGCCATCATGGCTAAGTGGGGAAAATGCTGTTCATGATTTGCTTGTCCTCTGTCAATCATAAGCAGGTACACAGGCTGTCTAGTTTCCACCAAAGCCTCTCAAGCATGAGGCTGACTGCAGGTGGGCTCGGCACCAGTATCTTGTCCTTTCTACTTATCCGTCTAAAGAGAGAGGGAACATTACTGCACAGCTCAGCAGTCTGCCCCCATTGATTGAGGCCTGCTGGGTCTCTTTTGTGTGGAAAGCCAATCAAGCACCGTTCACAAGTGTGCCCCTTATGGCTGGACGGGATTACTGAGCCAACCAGTCGACTTGAACTGCTGTGCTTGTGGAAAACAACAGAGAGGTAGCAGATACTGAAGCTTTGTAGTTGACTGTGTGGAGGAGGGTACTTAATTTGCTGACAGAGGAACTTTAGTTGGACAAAAACTTTAAAATGAAAATGAAATTAAACCTTTTAACGTTAATGTTGAAATTGGCTAAAGATAATAAGGCATTCCAACATTAGAAAAAGTGAGTATTTTATAGCTGTGCTGACGTCTTGTTGTCATCAGCAACAATGTGTAATGTCCTTTCACGAATCTCAGTCCTGTACTAACTGAGGAAATCCTCTAATTTCCTCTGATGTCATTCATTGCTCATGAAGTTCATTAAGAAGAGAATACCGCAAATGTGAACTCATGCTGAACTTTTCTGCAGCGTATCAGGAGATGGTGGGTGTAACAAAAACACAGCTTTCTCCAATGGCGTGCGAGAGCCATTTAGAACAATGCAAGCCATGTAAAATCCCTTTCGGTGCATAATGTCTTCCTTGCTGTGCTGCTCTATTCTAGCATTGTTCTCAGTGCTGCCACTAATGGCTGCTAGCTAATGTATATTGCTATAACCTTTTCCCCTATATCAGTATTAACTGACAGTAGAGGCTGAATCAGAGTTCACAGTTAAACGTGCGCCTAAAATTTAAGCAAGTAAATTTTTATTGTCTTTATTTTTGACTTAAATATAAGTCCAGTGAATGTCCAAGATTTTATTATCATTGCCGAAAGACAGTTTAAACCACGTTGTTTTCAATTATCTTTGATTGATAGCGCCACTCCGTCATGAATATTTTTGAATGTCTAATTTGTAGAGGGTTCATTTGGTGTCGCTCCAGGCTAAAACTGAGCAGCATCCTGAATGTATATGCTTAATGGATACATGAAGGTGAGGTCGTCTGCATCTTGGTAGTACTAGACCTTGGCATTTTATAATTACCCTGTGATCACTAAAACACAATTAAAATGTGTTTTTCTTGGATGGAAGAACAAAGAGATTTGATAATTTTGGCACAGATTTTGCTTAGCAACAGATTAGGATGGTGTGGTATGTCTGCCCAGAGGAGTCGATAGTGTGCTGGTCATACTGGTTTAGTCAGGAAAAAAAGATGAGGACCACACATGCTGAGAATATCATTGGATCATGGAGTCGCCTCGTTGTTTTAAGGTGACAAGTCTGTTTTTTGATTCCCATTTACTGACATCGCCTAGGTTTTGTATTGGTGACAGCTGTGTGACCGCTGCAGTAAAAGCTGCTGGATTGGTTAGACAGCTCTGTTAAGGTTGACCTCATCTGTTGTCCACATGAGGACAGCAGCCGGTGGCGGGTGGCTGAGGCGCCCTTCACATCAACGGAGAGAGGTTGCATCTGAGATCCCTGCACTCCAGGGAATAGACTTGTCACCAGTCGCCATCTGAGGGCATCTCGGTATTCTGTCATTTTTTTGCGCAGATGAATGACAGCCCCAGTTATATTTTGTTTTAGTTTTCCACCATAGCTCAGTCCCCTCAGCTGTGTCCTAGCCTTTTAATTAGCCTTTGGTTAATTGCAGGCTTAATAAAGCCGGGTATCGTGGGACACACTGTCTCATATGGCCTTCTTACACTGTGGCTTGATTCGTTTGTCTTGACACATATCCAACAGCCAAAATTTCTAAGATGGGATTGATTCTTTATCAGTAAATTTAACTTTTTACCCAAAGACAGTGAACAATCTTTTCTTTAGGTTGATAACTACTATATTTCTGTGGTATAGAAAATTATTGGATTAAACATTACACTGCTTTTTAACTATCATGTTTGTTTCCAGCAGTCTCATTGCTTTGCAGTTCCTCTAATGTACCACACACAGCCACTGTGAAGGTCTTATATTGATGCAGTGATGCAGGCATGAGCTGTAATGTAATTGCAAATACAGAAGTCTGCGGGATTTTGGCTTCAGTGAGCTTTGTTTCATGCTGGGAAGACATCATTTTAGCAAGCTACACATTTTCAATGTCTCAGTTTGTGCATGCTGTTGTTTTTGCAGAAAGCTTTGATGAGACATTCTGTGATCTTTGTCCTCTAGTTCATCACAAGCAAAGAGTTGCTTGGGAGAGAGAGTTGACTGTTTGTGAATACTTTTGTGATGAATGCAGCCTGAAGAGAAAATATCTGTCATTTTCCCACTCGGTTACTCACGGTTTCTCGTCTAACACTCAGCCTTCAAAACAATCACCAGACATTCCTGCCGTGGTTTTCATTTACCGGCCAAGCCCCTGTACTTGCCACATGACTTTGTTCTTAAGGGGAAACATTTGCGTGTTAACAGTTCGAATGGAATGCTGGCAGATAAAACAAAATGCTTTGCTTTGGAGGAAAGCCAGTGCAGCAGCTCAACAGCTGAAAGGGAGAGGACAGTGTTACGCTGGCCTGGCCTCTCAATGTGCCTTTTTTGTCTCATCTGAGGAATGTTAACTCTTTGCTGTTCATCTAATGTCTTGTTGAAGCAGTATTTTATTGTGCATATCATCCATGTGAGGTGGATTCTGAAGATTACATGTTTCATTTTAAATGTTTTTTTTTCTAATTCAAATAGGGATATGGTTTCTGAGATATTTATGTTTTGACTCTCTGTTCTACCAATTTATTTCTTCCTGCAGGTGAGAGTTACGTGTGCGCCTCCAACGAACCCTTCCGACGTGTGGACTACGCCAAGAACGTTAACCCCAACTGGTCAGTGGGCATCAAGACCGGCACATCACGCTCCCTCTCCTCCCTCATCCCGCTGAAGAATGAACTGCAGCGGGAATCCAAGGACTTCATCAAACCGAAGCTCGTCACAGTCATCCGCAGCGGTGTCAAACCCCGCAAGGCAGTTCGGATACTGCTCAATAAGAAGACGGCACACTCCTTTGAGCAGGTGCTCACTGACATCACGGATGCTATCAAGTTGGACTCTGGAGCTGTGAGGAGACTTTACACTTTGGAGGGCAGGCAGGTGAGTCTGTTAACCATGAACTCAGACTAAGATTACATAACATGACAGTTGGAGGGAGTTAACTACACTGTTTCGAGCTTGGACAATGTGCATATGAAAACCAGATGGAACTGCAAGGCTGAGCTTTTTAGCCAATGGTTTTATCTCCAAAAAAACGCTCTGATTTATAGGCTTCAGCTGTGTCAGCAGTCTAGGTAATTACACCCTGTTTAATCATCCATACATAATTACACGCCACAGTTATTTCAACAAGGCACTAATGAATACACTTTAGAGTTCAGGCCTTTTGCCATATCCATCAGTATAGTTTCCTCCCCACCTCATAGAACCCTATTAAGCCATTTGAGACTGTTTTCGCTATAATCCTATCCATCTGGGACACATATACCATTGTAATGTTTCCATTTGAAATTCTCATTGAGCTTCCCTGGTGTTGGGAGATGAGGTGAGCTTGAACACATGGTGCCCCTCATCAAAAAGATTTATATTAATGTTGGCTCATCTGGGAGAAGTCTTACATAATAATTATTGATTATATGGTTTTAAGTTATCTCACAGAATTATTTAACTTCAAATGAGGAAGATGGTTTAAGGGAAGTGAAAGTACAGCTTATGACAAATGTAGAGGATAAAATATGAATTAAAAATAAAGTAATGTTATTTTAATTTATGAAACGTCACCAAAAAGCAAGTTTACAAAAACTAAGAATAACAGGAGCTTTAATGAAAAGGTTTTGTCACCTTACATCTTAAAGTATTGCAAGAGTTGAATGGCTTCTGTGAGGCTTTGCAGTGACCTGCAGTTAAGAGGTCTACATCATGTACTTTCTGTATACAGAATTATAGTTTAAAAACTAACCAGGTAAGCCTAAACGTTTGTGAGATAAATAAATTTATGTGATTTTCACCAGTTTCAAAGGTTTAACAAAAGACATAAAACAGACTTCTGGCTAATGACAGGCTGAAGGTTTAAGGTAGTGTGAATGTCTGGCAAGAGCAGGGAATAAAAATGAGTACGACTTTTTCCCAGATTGGCAAATGATGACATTGATTATGTCATGCAATTGCTTTCAAACGTGAGAAGACTGCACTTTTTAAAGCTTAAGTAGGAATAATATATTGCTCCCACATTTCAGACATTTTGCTTCACATAGCCTGATCCAGTGACTACAGTTAATTCTGAAACAACTGAAATGTGTTAAGAAAACCAAATGCGACATACAAACCGTCTTTAGGTAATGATAATAAAATCTTGGACATTCACTGGACTTATATTTAAGTCAAAAACACTGATTTCATAAAGACAATAAAAATTTACTTGCAAACTGCCACATTTAGCGCTTCACATTTCTTGAAACTGGTCATGCTGTTTGCATCAGTGGATTTCAGGGTAGATTGTCCTGTTTACTGCCAGTGTAGCAGTGAAAACATGTGTTTGTGATATAAACAAATGTCAAAAGACAGAAATGGAAAGCTTTATGGAACTTAAGAGGACATGTGTGTGAGAGGCATGCCAATGAAGTGGCCAAAATATGCTTTCATTGGAGTCTAAACTGTCAAAGACTGCACTAAAATCAATTGTTTATATGTGTTGGTTACTTCTGTGGTTTATTTGATGATAGTATCTTTTGCAATGCCTCACTCCAAACACAGCTCTAACTACACAAATAATGTGTTTACTCATAAAATCCAGAAAAAGCAGTTGGCTGGAAAGAACTTTTGGATACTTGATTATAGCTCTGTTGGATCTACTTAAGAGCTCAAACATTGTTTCATTTTCAGTGGGATTGAACTTTTATAAATGGACAATTCCATTGTTAGAGAGGTGTTGATTATTAATAAAATAACCTGATGTCATGATTCTGTTAAAGACTACAGAAACATCAGTGAGGCTTTTAGATTGAAATTAGTCCAGAGCCACAAAAAAAATGGCATTTCCTGAGTAATACTTAGTCTTACATGGAGCTGTAATAAAAAAAACAAATAAGGGTGACAAACAAGAATCTCCTAACCTCAAATACTAAAATGTTAAAACTGAGAATCAGAGTCTGAAACCCAAAGCAGCTGATGTTTGTTTCCCGTGAACCGACAGGAAACTTTCTGTACCGGACAGTCCAGACAAATGACTCATGAGAATAGTGATCTTTATCACCTCTGACAGAGCCAGCCCAGCATCCTTTCTGTCAGGCCAGCACTCTACAGTTTACAATGATTACATAACCGTGTCCAGAATATCATTGTATTTATTTGCATTATCTTAGCTTAAAGTTTCCTGTGATGGATGCCCTTAAACTAGTTGTGTACCTCTGAGACTATGAAGGTGGTGCAGGAAGTCCTCTAAGCCTTTCGCCAAGTAATACAATTAATAAAGACACTCACTATTTTTTGAGAAAATTATTAATACACCCAAGCCTTAACTGGTAAATCAACATTGAGTCACAAAGAGCAGAATACAGCTGCTCTCTCTCTGTTTAAACTTGTAAAGCATGTTGCCTCTCTGGCCGTATGCCAATCAGTGTTTCACAGCAGGTGTTTTCATCAGTTGTCATAAGGAAAACACCAGCTGTTAAATCACTGAATGGGGTGCGGCCAAATGGGTGACACGATTTAGAGTTTGAACCCCCCGAAAACTTAGTTTATTATTAGCAGGGTTGGGTGGGGGAGATGTGGCGTCATACACTCAAGTTGTCAAGTAATGTCAGCGCTTGAAATGTTCAAAAACATGGTGCCAAAAAGCAATATCACTTAATAATGCATCGCCCACAGCTGCACGTATTAATGCTTCCTGCAAGAATTTTGTTAGGGTCTCCACTGTGACTCATTCAGTCTAATATCAGTGGCATTAAGCCTTGATGTGTTTGTATTCCATCTCTCAGTAGATTCCATGTTGATCAGCCATGCAGACCTGTAGCCATGTCACGCTCCATATTGCTGTGAGGACTGTATCATTAGCATTTATGGGCTGCACTCGCATTCATTAACTTTAGTCATAGTAACATGTTGTCCACCCTGTCTTACCAACTACCCAGCTGATGCTTTGACTAATCATTGGAAGAGAGAAGAGGCTGGCAGAACACCAGACTGCGACGGCACACCCTTCCTTTTTTTTTTTAAAATCAGGAATCTGCAGTTGGCTGGAGTCTGGTATGGTATGGTTTGTTAAAGGCCATAATGTCGTCAGGACTTTTTGCAGTGAGTGAAACCAAAACTTAGAGCTTCACAGTTGTTACAATGGAGTGTCTGTCAGTTGTGTTTTACAATGAACCTTCCTAGCCCTACTTTCATCCAACCAAAGTTTTGTTTTTGTTTTTTAAAACCTATGAAAAAATTGACCTAAAACCGTGTTAGTAAGTTATGATCTGGGTGCTATAGAAAAGGTAATCAGCTCTCAAATTTTTGATAGATGTTCTGTTTATCAGTGTGCACCACATGCATAAAATACACTAGCTAAACTTTTCAAAAATAAAACTGATATATTCATGCTTTCATTTCAGTCTTGCCCATAAATAGACTGTAAAGATGCTGTGCTATGTGGCCAAAAAGAACGCTGTAGAAATCACAAAATTATTCATCGATGCTCAGCTTGTAGCTCCTAAAATGATTGTAAATTTAGCAGCAAGTGACAAGTCATTTAAGAAAAATCCCAAACCAAGCAGCAACTAAGGCCCGCGGTGCTTTTAGCAACTGTAATGTTCTTTTACTGGATTGAAGATGGATGCCAGCCAGTTCAACCACCAACATAACACCAGCATTTATGGCAATTCAGCTGGATTTGATGTCGCGAATCAGTGATTTCCTTTTAGCCATTTATATTTAAAATCATAAATCAATCATTTCAGTAGTGATTTGGGGCATGCACGACACACTGTTTTGGGATTATACTCGTCTATTACAGATGACTCATTACACAACTCATGCTGAGTGTGTCATGTAGCTACTTTAGATATTCACCACAGGACTTTTAATGATAAACACATCAGCCTTTATTCACAGCTTCCTTTGATAGATGATTTCTCATCTTTGCTGGAACACAAATGCATCCATCCATCCATCAATCTGGCCCTGTAAAGCGGCTCTAGTTGGAGACTAGAGTTTCTTCTATTACTCGTCTTACATGGTGTCACAAAATGCTCAAGTCCTCTACAGGAGTATCTTTCGGCAAGAGTTCCCATTTTAATAATCAATTAGACGTCAATACAAATGCCTATGAGGCAGGTGTCTTACAAGACAACTGTGTCAGCGGAAATGATGAGGTGTAGAGAGCACAGGATGCACGCCATCCTCGGTGGATCACTGTAAGGAAAGAAATCAAGTCAGAATTTATCAAAAGCCTTTTTGGCTTGTTTTCAGCTCCAGTAAGTCATATCCAGACACTATTTAGAAAAGTTATGTGTCATGGTAGACAAGGGAAATAATGTTTTTACATATATCAAATTGGAAGCATTAGACACCTAATTGATATTGACAAATTCTTCTGCAATATCCTGTCCTTAACTGATGCTGTTAACAGACATTGCCAGTGTAATGTTGTTAGGCTGCATTTCAGAAATTGGATTATGTTCTAGTTTTTCAGCTCTGTCATTTAACCTGAACAGATCTTCTGTGAAAGTGATAATGTTGTAATTATTTAGAATCTACATTGATTTTTTTGTTCTTAAAAAAAATTCTTATTGCCTTCACATGACAGTTATGTGCACTCTTACAAAATGCTTTGAGCAAATTACTTTGTCATAGGTGAGAATATTCTTCTCAGAAATCGGATAGACCGCAACAGTGTCTAAATGATGACTGAAAAAAGACTTTTTGCTTTAGACTTGTCTTTACATTTACAGTTACTCAAAGCGACTTACAAGTGAGGGACATCACTAAAGCTTCAGTGCAGTAGGAGACCTTAGTGTAAGTACTAAGTAGTACATCTATTCAATAAGTGCAAGGTCAAGTAAAGAAGTGCACTTTATTGCATAGTAAGTGGTAGTTAGGCATTACTCTCTTTGCTTTAG